GGGAAACGCTGTTCTATAGAATTTTGCTGCTTTCTTAGTTGGTTTACTGATCAATTTCTATCTCGGTGATTCCCAAACATTTTTGGCGTAGCCCTCTAAATACCGCCTTTGCCACAGCTCTACATAAAAAATTGTTATAACAATAATAAATAAATTGTAATAGCACCAATATTTATTAAATTATTCATCAGTAAAATAGACGAGATACACCAACAAATCGAATTATTTTATTATAATAATTCTAATACATCGTCTGAACGATATGTAAGAATGACTGTGACTTAACACTTTTTAATGTGAGCTTGTTTTAGCGAACATAGTTTCTCTTAGCGTGGTTGTACAATTGTTAGTCGTAGTCGCAGTTCTGTTTTTACATTTTTCAGTCAATAACGCTCCTTTATCTCGTGTTGTATTAGTAAGGGTCCACCAGTGGTTCATTGGTAAGTCTGAAGGTTTATAACACACAAAAAGGATTTTGATACACGTGATTGGCACAGCACAGATAGCTCATTATGTAGCTTTGCAATTAACGACAAACAAACAACAAAAAGCATTAGTCAGGAAATCACGATTCGCAAAGGTGATACTCATAAAGAATTATCATATTCTTATTAATCTTATTTTTAAGATGTAGAATATTAAATACTGTTATTTTTTCGGTAAATTTTACAGAAAAATAAAATATTTTCCGGAGTGCTTGCAATCTCACTGAGGTCACGTCTCACACTTAGGGAAACTCTGCTCTAGAGCCAATAAAGTTTCTACTACTTTCAAAGTTGGTTTACTGATTACTGGATAACTTGACAGAAACAGTCAATTATTTGCCAAGACACAGTTACTACAGTCCTGAAGTTTAGTCTGCTGAAGTAAACGAATTATAATTATTTGTTAGTTGTAATATGCATAAATTTACGTAATATATTATGATTGTTTATATAATTTCCATTATATACACTAACTTTAACTGTTAGGTTTTTCCATATCCCTAGAACAATCTTTTTTGAAAAAAAACTTATTTCTTTTCAACTATTTTGGCCTAATAACGAAACATTAAGTAGACATTGTTACCAAGTGTGCATGCTCATATAGGTTTAGCCCTTAATGTTTCTCCCCCCCCCCCTTGATAGTAGAACCCTTTTTTAGTTCACCGATATTTTACTTGAACCGATTTCTTCATTATCATTTTTATTTTTAGATTTGCTTTCTTTCCCTAGACCCCAACCCCCTTACACCCAAGTGCCTGAGCAATAAGTCTGAGGCCTTATAATGCTAATATTGGATTTCGATACTCGCGTACCAACGGCAGACAGAGAACAGATAGCATATTGTATAACTTTTTGCTTAACAACAAATAAACATTTTCCCGCTAATATACTAATTTTGACGTAATGTTTTTAAAGAATAATGATAAACATGTAAAACGTATATTAATCAAATCATCTATAAACTAACTTATCAGTCAGTTCTCAATATGCTTCAACTTACAAAATTAAAAAAAAGCCAGCCACTTAGAATCAAGACAAAATTATTTTGTCAAAAGCAAAACGAAATGAAGTCTTAAATATTCATTTAAAATTCAAATCTTCTTTCTCGTCAGAATTTTAGAATATTTTAATTAGCTTTTGTAACACAATCTAAAAATGAAACAAATTTGAACTTTATCACTGAGAATATAAATGTAATGATAATCTATATCACAAAATATTTTTTCCAGGTTGTCAACCAGGACTGTAGAAAACATTATGTGCACTAAAGTATTTGGTCAAAGACAAAGATCTCCTTGAGAAAAGATACGTTATGTAAAGCAATAAATCTATTCTATTTCACCCTTCTGTAATTAATAGTGGATATATTTTTATTAAATTACATCCAGGTAAATTTTCAAACTTCGGGTAGGTATTCAGCATGTAGTTACTTGATTTTCTCATAAACAGATTGTAGATGGTTGCAAGATTGTTCTAACTCTTTGTTTTAGACAAAGGCTACTTATCATAACGATAGTTTAGTAAGGTTTATATGATACTTTGGAATCTTTCCCGTGTTGTGCCTTCCCTGAAATGTGTGTCGCACAGCTAACTCAAGTTCAGAGATAGTGCAGAAACCTGTACATGTTGATACTTCACCTTTAAAATGTAGTGGAAATTATGGTAGATGCAGGCAATCTAGAATTT